AATGTATCTCCTACAAATTCAGAATACAACACCTCAGACATAGCTCATTGTACTCAGCTTGAGTGTGGGCACAATGATACTATTTGAATTTTTGATATCTTTTTTTCATCAATAAGAAGGTTAACCCCAAATTTAGAGTAACTGTTCACCAGTTATGGCTTTTTAACTCTTCTGTGATTTTTTTTTGGCTTGGCTGATTTTGTTCATACTTGACAGATAGGTCGTACCATCACTAATTGGAAAAACAATCCTGACCCACCACTACCATGGCAACAGCCAAAATCTGTTTTTTTTGAATACTTTCAATACTGCTATTACCTCCTACCAGTCTTGTAATAGCAGTGTTTAAATGATCATGCCTTTTATTTTGGCTACGTTGCGCACTGGTAAGATATCACCGGCGCCGACATTGTTATACTGTATCAATAGGGATTTCAGGGGGAAATTATACACATATCATAGTAGTTTGCATGGTGGCATTGGACAGATCTCTACTAGAGCAATACAATGCATCTTATTTGATGAAAATCAGGGTAACCGTTCTCGAGATAGGGTACTTTGTAGCTTCAATTAGCATCTCTTAATTTTGGACAAAAGATGACACAACAAAGCACTGAATAGTAAAGACAACGGCACCATTTTGGATGAATAAGCACTAATTATTTAATTGGAGCTGAACTTAAACTGCCATATCTTTCCCCTTTTTATTGAATTTTCAACAAATTTTCAACAAATGAACTTTATATCAATGTTTATCTAATGTTATTAGAAGGTAACATATAGACCATCTGTTACCATGGAAACAAGCCATATTCAAATTTCTTTTTAAATCATCTCTCAGTGTCAATAAAGATAAACAAGTTTTACTTTCGTTTATGTTGCCTTCGTTTTTATTCCTATACAAATGCATTGAAAACGCCCTCATCGACCGGCTATGCGTTCTACCAAGCTTTGCTTATTTTTACGCTATAATAATACTTATGAAACAAAAAGCATTGACACGAATAAACAAATCTAAGATAACATTACTGCTTATTTTTTGGCAACTTAGAAAAGAAGTATGCATGGAAAACATAACTGGGAGCTGCCCGGAAAATTTGAAATCTCTGTGCCTGATCGATCCATTTTTATGCCAAAATAACCAATGAATCATCTCAATTCTACAGCTGTGAATGCTCTAATATGTACAATTACTTTGCATTTACGCTGCATTTTCGACATGTTAAAAACAAAATAAACGTATTTTGCCGTATATAAAAGTGAAGGAGTGAAACATTCTTTTCGTACATGAAAATGGAGTCCATGTAAAGTACCGGGTTGGAGGTACCACTTTTAAAATGGGCTTGTCGCACTCTTTAAATTGATGTCACACTCACAAAACCTAGATTTTTGTCTATTGAAATATATATTTTTTCAAATTATGAGTGATATATATGCCAGAAAGTTGTAAGTCGATACAAAAATTGCCGTTAAACTTTTGTTTTTATTGCCGTTTCGCCAATTTTCGGCCGATTCTCACTTATCACCTCTCATTCTATAGCTGTCATCCCCTACTTGATTTCTGTGGCATTTTCGTACGGTCCATTCCAATGCGGGGAAAACGCAGCAAACTTCTCTGGATTTAGAACACCGGGTTAAATTTGGAGGTCACGGAGGTTTCAATTTTTATTCTCCCGTGTTGTCAAAACGGCTACTCGCAATGGGTTGCAATTTTCAGAAAATGACCATAAGATATAAAGCTAGAATTCATGTTAATTTTTATTTTTTTTTGCTTTTAGTTTTGCTCACGTATTTTGTAGTTTTTGAAAGGGTAGCTGCCCACACCAACTTCTTCCGATGTCATTAACCAACTGACTGAAATCCCAAATATTAGCTGTACACCACATGGAATACTACGATTGAGAGAACCTGATGTATGTTGAATGAGCTTTATCATAGACCATCAACATCAAAGTACCAGGAGGTTTCTGCTGGCGACGTTGCGGCGTTACCCAGTTCCAAATAAAGATTACCAACGCCAAATGAGCGACATTTTTACCGGAAATCAAGATTTATTCAATCCACGGCTAACAAGCTACACCACAAGCGAAGTTGTAGCGTGCAGCTCATCAACGAGCGCTGTCGACGAAAGTCATTCCGTCAGTGAAGTACCGCAGATGTGACGGCATGTTTGCCAATGCACAATTCTGTGGAGGAACTTTTACCTTAATTTGAACTACGTATGACTGATTCGAAACATTCCATCGAGAATGGACGGTGCCCTATCGTGCCAACCCTTCACCATTGTATTCAAACGAACCCCCTGGTGTGCTGTTACATTCTCCTTCAAACCCGGGATTCAACCATTAGGGGCGTTTTAATAAAAAAAACATCGCAAATTTAGCAATTTTAAACAAGTATACTAAAAAGAAATGCTCAGTGATGCAAAAGAAGGATAGATATTACTTTTCAGTATACACATCTCTGTTTATACAATCCTCCACATATTCTTCTCCCAATTATTCCTGCGTAAAATGGAATAGCCTTTTTCCATGTTGACATTCTGAGTAAAATCACGTGATAGGCTGTTACAATTGGCTGTTACATACTCTTTCGCCGTTCTGGAAAATGTATTTAATTAGCTCTCATTCAAGCGACAATGTATATTTCCCAGTGGGAATGAACCTAGTTCGAATCTGCCATTAAAAAATAGGGGTCTTTTCAGCAAAAAACGAATAACCCTTGAGTGCACACAATACACTGAATTTCAGAACAAATCTTGCATTAGTTACAGCAGCAGAATACCACAGAAATATCAGACGAAACATGAAAACACTATATATTGTATTTTGGCCTGAACCCTCTCTATTACAATTCCAGGAATTACCCCCATATGTGCAACCATTTTCCACCTTGGTATCACCCAACCCTGAAAACAAATTCTTAATATCACGCTGAAGCGTTTGGTAATAAAACGCGTTATTTGAACAGATTCAAAATACCGTTAATTCGGTTTAATCGATGTCACCAACGGTTTGTATACTCGGATTTATACTCCCAGTTTATTTCAAATAATTGTCGACGAAGACGTATTACTAAAAATAGAATGGGAAACCACCGGAAACAATAGACAATGTTAGCTTTGTTTTTCCGTGTATATCAATAAAATGACGTCAGATTATTTGACCCGATTTTATTGGTGTCCTGTTACGGCATACATATACACCTTTGAACCGGACAAATGCTGGGTTTTACGCGGCGACTCTGCAGTATGGAACACAAATAGATGGAGTAACTACTGCCAGAGAGAGGCGGCACGAAATGTTGCATGAGGGGGGGGCGAGATCTGCTCACCTTCCCTCACGCAAAGGGCGGCCTTACAAGGGGGTCTGGGCATGCTCCTCCGGAAAAAATAAAATCTAGACCTTCTGAAACGCTAATTTCGCTGACATATACATAAGTGAAAAATACACAAAAGGTTGCAGCTTGATTCGGGGCGCCCCTTCAAAACTTTTCGGGGGCGACCCCCCACCCCACCCCCTTGACGCATGCGTAGGTGACGACTCCCTCGCTTTAAATGTGTGCATCAGCGTGTTGTGATATAATCATCTGTCAATGCAACCTCTTTGGTCTAGTTATGTCTATATTTTTATTGAACACAAGCAAAGACAAAACCCTTAAAAAAAACAATAAGTCCCTACTTATATACAAAAGACGGAAGATTACAGTTTAGTTATAAAATATTAATATTTATTCGGAAATTACAAATATTGTGGAAGAAATATGTACACTAATCGCCCCATGAAACAAAATATGACTATGCATTTAAAACCTAGCTCCCAACGGTCTCTCAAACAAAAGAACATTTTACCCATGGATCCCGACTACAAATGCAAGACAAAACAGTTAGCAGCAGCCGTCAGAGGGCGTGGTAAACAATGACGAGGTATGTAGGTCACGTGCAGAACAATTCAGGTGTTCGTGTACACGTTATTTTCAAAATAACTTCACTCCAAAGTGATGTCATATTCTGCCAACAGGACCATTTTAACCGTTGTCATATGTAATCGTGATTGAGGCAATGCAATATGACATTAGCTTAGATCTGTTGTTGGTGCCATCGGGTTAATTTACCGTCAAGGGCATGCTAGTAAAAGCCTGTAAAAAAAAACTGATGTATACGTAATTTCTTTACACTTTGCTAAACCAGTGTGCGCATGTCTGGTAAAACCTAACCGGAAACTGGCCAGAAACAAATACTTTCACAAAATAAAATCATACACCTAATTCATAGAGAAGAGTTAAATACAATTTACAGCAACATATATCTTGCTTAACGCGCG